GCTACCATAGCCAAAAAATGTTTAATAATATTAGATAAGGGGCTGTGACTCCAGACAAATTTGTACCATTATTGCCCTCATACTTTAAGTAACTCCTTGTGAAAATAAATAGCCATTAAGAGTCATAGTGACCCCTCCTTGGGTTTCCAAGGAGATATCTCCATGGAAGTAGATTGTCCAGTCTTACTTCTGAGGAGTGGGTAGTGGGTTTGAACCGCCAACTTTCTGATTAGTAGTCAAACACCTTAAGCACTACACCACCAGAACTCCTAATTAAATAGTAGGAAACGCAAAAAAGAAACATTTTTGTCAGATTGATAGAAAATAGGAGATCTTGAATGTTTTATTCTTTTAAAATACGGTAGAATCTGTGAGTCTGTGCAAAAACGGCAAGGAGGCCACATCTTCTGACCTCCTCTAACCCTACAAGGGGAAGACAGGATTACCAGCAGTAACCCAAGGCCTATTACTGCAAGGCCAGACATGCTGCCTCCCTCCAGCCCTTTTCTCCAACAGTTCCTCCCAAAGCACCCACCACCTCTCTCCTGGGTTCAATAATTTCCTGCAATGGCCACACAGAACTCACAGATTATGGAGTTTACTAGGGAAGCACCAGGCTACAATTCAAGTTCAGGAAAAACGCTCAGTCTCTCTCCCAGCCCACCGTCTCTCAGCCAAGTCTCTCACAGTCTCTCCCCCAGCAGTGCATGTCCCTTGGTGTCGTACTCAGCAACGCGTGTCTCTTGCATCTCTTTCCCAGCAGCATGTATCTCTTTCCGGAGCGCATGTCTCTTTCAGCAGCACGTCTTCCGCAACCAGCAGTCAGAGAGAGAGTTCTGCTTCTAAGAGGCCTCCTTTTGAGCTTGGCAGAGTGGCCAAACTAGCCAATCATAGCATCAGAACTCTAAGCACCTAAGAGAGGGCCTCCCATAATATTGCGTTGTGCCACACCCAACAGAAATAACCCAGGTGGATAACATTTACAATCAGGAGCTCCTCAGTTGCTCATTCCACCACTGAGTTTACAATGACTTATGGGTAGACAAGCCATGTTGTTGTTGTTATGTGCCGTCAAGTTGGCCCCAACTCATAGCGACCCCGTCCTTGGGTTTCCGAGGCAGTATCACTACGGAAGTAGATTGCCCGATCTTCCTTCCAAGGCCTAGAATAAAACTCACTCCCAGGGGCTGGTTCTCGGCTCAGTGGTAAACAAGGTGTACATGCAGATCATTCAACCCAGGGTAATGCACCCATATACTCTATGGAGGTGCATCCCTTGGGGCAGCTGACCACAGAGCACCAGAGGGGCAATATTCGTACGGAGGAAATGCAGGACACACAGGAGTGCATAACTATGAGGGGCACGGGGGTGGTTACTGGCCAGGTGGGGAAGAGACTGGGTTAGGGTTGGGGATGGTAATTGGGGAGTGAAACCAAATGTACATGGACTGTTGAATATAAAGCAAACTCTGCTCTGTAAACTAACCAACTGACTGACTAAATAAATAAAATAAAGGCCTTGATGGCCGAGTTTTCGCTTGGAAATTTCATTGGTTTGTGAAAATTGTATCCTGAGCACATTGATGGTACAGATGAAACCTTTCATAGCAGATGATAATTATTCAGATATGCCAGTCTGGTTAGCGTTGTTTGATAGGAAATGTGTTCTTTAGCGGATAGATTAGTGACTGAAGAGTCAGAACCATCATTAGCCTTTGTATGAACATTCTGGCTGAGGTGGTGCGTGTGGATGTGCATGGATGGGGCAGGGTCATTGTTGTGTTCATAATCAGTTATTTGTGGAAATATTCATGGATGGTAATATAAATTACCTACAGTATTTAATAGTTGATTTGCCTGGTTTGTAAACATCATATCACAGAACCTATGAACTGTAAGCTGTAATTGAGTTTTGTCACACCTTGTACTACTACCTTACCACCCAGGTAGCACAAATGAGGAGTATGGAAGGAACCCCTCTTAAAGGGGATGTTCTGATCAACTCTTGCCACGTGGAAATAGGAGTTCAGGATTTCTAGATACACTGATTTTTTTCTTTTTTAAGAAAAGCAGGAAATTTTGTTTTGTGTTTAGGTCTTTTTAAATGTGAAATGCCTCTTTTCTAAAAATTAGGAACTGATGAAGAAAAAAATGAAAATCCTGTCTGGGTGACATAAAGCTTCTCTCTTGGCTGACTGCCCTGAGGACTGCTAGTTTGCATCTTCTAGTCTCTGCATTTGTCTTTCTCTGTCATGAATATTTGTTTCTCATTGAAGAACAACTTTCCGCAAAATCAGGCTCATTGAGTTGATACTGGAAATTCAACAGAATTAACTCATATGTACTTTATGAAATGAGGTCATTTAAGAAGCATCTTTACTGTTTTGTCATATTGTGCTCAATTTGGATTTTTGTGTGCAGAGATTGCTCTAAGGTTTAGATAAGGTTTAGATATAATTGAATTTATTAGTGTTTAATGTCCAAAATTATATTTCCCAAAGTTTCATTCTATAGTGTTTATAAATTTTAAAAGCTGCTATAACCAGTCTCTGAAGACAATGAGTAAATTTGTTGTCTACAAATAAAAACTGATACAAGTATTACCAAGTTCTGCCTCCTTATAATGATTAGATAGGAGCTCTGATAGCACAGTGCCTAAGACACTTGACTGCTAACCACTTTCAGGAAGTACATTTTGAGGCATTGAATTTTATTATATTAAGTAAAAACAGTGATAAGAGAGTTCAGGAAATCCAGAAAGCGTTGTTAGTTGCTGTTACACCAGGTGCAACTCACGGTGACCCTGTGTACAACAGAACAAACCCTTGTCTGGTTCTGTGTCATCACCACAGTTGTTGATGTGCTTGAGTCTGTTGTTGTGACCCACAGAGTTTTCAGAAGTACATCACCAGGCCTTTCTTCCTAGTTTGTCTTAGTCTAGAAGCTCCACTGAATCCTGTCCAGCACGAGTGACCTTAATTGTGTTAGAAATACTGATGACATAGCTTGCAGCACGAAGGCAACATGCAAGCTTCCGAAGTACAGCAACCTGACAGATGGGTGGTTGATCCAGAGAATACATCTTGTTTATTGTCAAGCAGTAAGCATCATTTTAACATAAACACTTCTTGTGTAGTGTTTGAGAGATAGGAAAAACATTGTGCTTAATAAAAAAACATTTTCAAGAACAAAGTATGAGTGATACATTAGCTGTTGTTGTTGTTATGTGCCGTCGAGTCGGACTTAACTCATAGCGACCCCTTCTTGGGTTTCCGAGGCAGTATCACTACGGAAGTAGATTGCCCCATCTTCCTTCTGAGGAGTGGCTGGTGGATTTGAACTGCCAGTCTTCTGGTTAGCAGTCAAGTGCCTTAGGCACTGTGCTACCAGAGCTCCCATACATTAGCTAGCATACCACATTGCAGAAGTGCTAACAGTAAGGACTGGGGAAGGGAAGTGGTACAGGCACAAAGTGGAAGGGGGTTAGTTTAGCTTCATTTTCCTGCTGCTGTACCTTTCAGATACATACATAGAAGGTAGTGATTATGTAAAATCTTTGACATTTTCCAGATTTTCTTCCTAGAATAGTGTTTAATATGTTTCTGTTTAATACCCATTTTTGGTTTGTTTATAAATGGGGTATATCTTCATTACAAAAGCTTGGCAAGTTTAGGCAGACATGAAGGAGAAGAAGATAATGATCTGAAATCCCACTGTAATGCACATTTCCTGTGAGCATGATAGTGTGCTTAGTTTAACCAAACTGGGAAATTCAAGATTATCTGGAATCTGTTAGCCTGCTTATTTCCTTTGTCCCAGCATTTTTGTGCGTGGGTAGATATTCTTTTACGTGATTGTTGATGGCTGCATTACTGCCCATCATGGGATGCTCCATCACACACTCATGCAGTCCCCTATTAGTAGTCATTTGAATTTCTAATTTTTTTTATTATTATAAATAATCACATTGTATTATAGCTTTTAGATAGAGTCATACTCATTTCTAAGATGATATCTTCCAGAAAAATTTCTAGAAGTATAGATTAAAGTGGCTGTCTTTCACTGTTGGGGACATGAAACCTTTTCCCTCCTTTTGGATGTGCTTTTCATCTGACTACTGAGCACTGCCTTTCTGCAAACCAAACCACTTCTTCTCATCATGTTCTCTGTAAAATTCTCATCCAGCATCTGTTGGCACTTTTTTGTTTGTTTGACTTTTGAATTGTGTTATTTATTAATTTACTCCTTTTAAGTTTCGGGAAGTCTAGCATTTTGCTCTACGATTGAGGACCATATGAGAGATAAAATTTAGTCTTTTTCTCTGAATACAAGGTGCAGTTATGTTACAATTTCTACTGACTTCCATAGTTTCTTAAATTTTAATATTTAATATGTTTAAAATGGCAAACTTCTAGTAGAATGTGGCCATCTTTCATTTATTTGGCAATCATTTCTTTTATGCATTCGGGTTTTTATTTATCAACTTACATGGTAAATAAATATTATTAAATAAATATTCACATATTTACCAACTTATGTGCCATAGTGTGACATATTTATAAACCTAAAGTAAAATTAAAAATAATATGTTATTAATGTAGTTACATCAATTTTGTATCACTGTTTTAGATTGACATACTCATTACCATTTTCTAGATCACTTCTCAATCTGCTCTACTGTAATTCATGAATTTGGTTCTCTGAATTCAAGAATTCTTTTTGATAAGTCACTTTTAGTACTATTTCTGAGGATATTTAAAGGGTATTATGAAATTTTTTTTTTTACTACACATAGTGTTTTTGGAAATTTCTAGATACCCTCTAATGTTGCTTGAAAGTGGTTTAAATACTAGCGGGATTAAAAATCTGATTTCTAAATGAATTCTGTTTAAAGTAAGTAGAAATACGTAGACACTCATAAAACTGTTAAATTCATTTTTCATCTGTTTCATTTCTAGTTTTCATATTCATTAACGTATTTTGTTCCTTACCATTTACAGCTCAGAATTCTGCAAATGCAGATTTTGCAAACTTTGATGCATTTGGACAGTCTAGTGGTTCGAGTAATTTTGGAGGTTTCCCCACAGCAAGTCACTCACCTTTTCAACCCCAAACTACAGGTAGAGCTTCTCCAGCGTTACGCTTTAATGTTTTTTTTTTTTTTTAAAAAAAAAAAAAGGAAAACTCTCTAGGTGTTGTTTTGGAAAATTACTCTGAACTTAAATTCTATAATTATCAGATTTTTAAATAGTTCTGTCTCACCAAGCTCTGGGGAAACCTGAATTTTTAATTTTTTTCTATGTGTTTGTTTTTCTGAACTTTGGTTTGCTGTCTAATTCATTGCATCTGTTTTCCTTTTCCTGCACAGGAACTTTAATGGACTGAAATCTGTTTAGGTTCATGTAACACATTGATGTAGGCTGGCATCATACCTCTGAGTAAAGGAAGCCAATTGCCTGCTTCCATAGACCTAAAATGAAAGAATTTTCAGGGCGACAAGCATGAGAAAAATGTTTAATGTTATTAGTCAAGATTAGCTTATATAACAATCTCTTTAATCAACTTGGGAATACTTTCTGTGCAGGAATTGAATACTCTTCCATGAACTTTATTGTTTTCCAAAATGCATTGAGGACTTATTTAGATCTTTGGCTGATTGCTTCTTTGAACTGTTAACTTGGTGTATTGTCTTAAAGCCTTTTCTTTCAATCTTCCTTTTTTCTTTTCCTTTAAATTTTAATTGACATAATCTCTGGCTGCCCAGCTTTTAGAGCGCTTTCATCTAGCTGCAGCTTTGGTGAATTCACTGCAACTCTCCCCCCCCAGGCCGCCCACAGTAAGTTCTCTTGCAAGTAGGCTCCTTAGTAATTTGTGTTTTGTGCTATATTTCATTGGTTTTTCAATTATAGATTATGAATCATCTTTTGATGGTAATCTTTTAAATTTTCACTTTTACTCCCACTCATCTGCTTAGAAGCCCTGGTGATGCAATGGTAAAGTGCCCAGCTGCTAACCAAAAGGTCATCAGTTTGAACCCACCAGCTGCTCAGTGGGAGACAGATGAAGCAGTTGGCGTCTGTAAAGATTTATAGCCTTGGAAACCCTATGGGGCAGTTCTACCCTGACATATAGGGTCCATTATGAGTCAGAATTGACTCACTGGCAATCGGTTGCATTTTTTGATATCTGTTAAATTCAGACGTCACTAGAAAGCACAAGTAGTATATGATGAAGTAAGTAATTTGATTTGGTAACTCACTTTTTAATAATTTCAAATAAAACTGTTCACACACATTTTGAAAGCTTAGTATCTACTTTGTGCACCAGCTACTTGTAGCAGATCACAACCACATATTACTTGTATTAATTGAAAACAGCCAGAGTTTAATTCCTGAAAGAAATTTTGTCAGTATATATTTGTTTCACAATGTCTAAAGAACTGATTGATAGAAAGCTCTCATTTTGGGAGAGTGTATCCATTCTGCTTTTAAAATGTCTATAGATGTGCTTTGTTATCATTTTGATATATGACTGTCTGAAGGAGCCCTGGTGGCACAGTGGTTATAGCACTGTGTTGCTAATCAAGAGGTTGATGGTTCAAACCCACAAGCTGCTTCATGAAAGAGGGATGGGACAGTCTGCTTCCCTAAAGATTGCAGCTTTGGATACCCTGTGGGGCAGTTCTACTCTGTCCTATAGGGTCACTATGAGTCAGAATTGACTCGATGGCACTGGATTTGATTTTTTTGTTTGGTCTATTACTATTCTGATTGTTGAAGCTGAAGTTCAGGAGTAAAGAACTAATATCTAAAAAGTTTGGTTATCAGGAGCATAGAATCACATACTCCGTCTGTGGAAGAAAAGTCCTGCTAGTTCTTTGAGGAAGGGCTCCAGAATAGAAAATGGGCCTTAAGATGACGATTGGGTGTATTGTGCTTTTGTGAAGTCAATTTTTGGTACAATATTTAAATTATCTCTATATGATCTACTATAATTTTTATTCCTTCATCTACATGGTAGGGCAGAGTTCTGCTGTGGACATAAGGATGTTGTATGTAGGTGAAAATTACTATGTGGAATAAAATAATAGCACTTAAAATAAGTTTAATATTTGATGATCACATTTTAAGAAATTCTGGATCAAAATAATGTATCTTCAATACTGTTAATCAGTAGCTGTGGTGTTTATGTATATGTCTATATGAAGCTATAAAAGCTTGAATCTTCAAGTAAGATATTTTGTATCTTTTTTTGTAGAACCTCTGTTTATAGGGAGAACTAGTCCCTGTAATGTCATAATTGTGATATTGCTGGGTGTTCTCCAGGCTGCTGCTGGGTGGCACAGGTAGCTTGCACTGACTCCTGATGTAAAGGTTGGCAGCTTGTACTCACCCAGTAGTGCTGCGGAGGGATACTTGCAATGTAAAGCCAAGAAAACCCTATGGAGCAGTTCTACTCTGTTACACATGGGGGTTGCCATGAGTCAGAATTTGACTCCATGGCAACAGGTTTGGATGTTCTATAATGTAACTGAGTCTTAAAACAGGTCGGATAGAGTTACCTACCCTGTGAATGATGGTCTTCACTCCAGGGTACATACTGAAACATGCTACCCTACATGTTGTCAGGACCTTTGAAAATGTAGCTTCATAAATTAAAAAGTTAAAGGTAGATTAATGTTGAATTCCATTTGGTAATCATTAAATTTTAAAGATGTAGGGTTCCTTACATAATACTTAATTTAGGGAAAAAATGATCATGTTATCTACCAAAGAGTATTGGGAAAAGTCTAGAAAATTTAAGTGTTCTTTTTATTCTGTTACAGGTGGAAGTGCTGGATCAGTAAATGCTAATTTTGCTCATTTTGATAACTTCCCCAAATCCTCCAGTGCTGATTTTGGAACCTTCAATACTTCCCAGAGTCATCCAGCAGTATCAGCTGTTAGTAAAGTTTCAGCAAATAAAAGTGGTCTACAGACAGCGGACAAATATGCAGCCCTTGCTAACTTAGACAATATCTTCAGTGCTGGGCAAGGTATCATGCTTTAAACAAAGTGAATACAGATTTGCATATTAAACTGTTTTAAATTTGGTGGTATTCATTAAAATCTGAGGATGTTATGCTTTTCTCAGTTGTATCAAGATTTTGTCTAACCTAAGCAGATTTAAAATGTTCATGTTTACTTGGCACATTATGGATCTGAAATGTTTCAGATTCCTAATTGTTGTACATTATATATTATATATATAATTATAAATTATGTCATTATATATTATAATGCAGAAGTTTGTAAATAACAGCAGTCAATATCTAGCCATTAGACTGCTGTCATTGGGTGGTTCGTTTTTGCTTAAGTTTCTTGAACACTCAGCTAAAGAGGTTGTGTGGAATATGTTGGAAAATACATTGATACCTTGTGGACTAATAACTGGAAATATCTCATGACTTACTAAGAAATTTTGGTGGAAGGAAGGTTGGGCAATCTACTTCCGTAGTGATACCGCGTTGGAAACCCAAGAAGGGGTCGTTATGAGTCAGGTCTGACTCAATGGCACATAACAACAATAACAACAAGAAATTTTGGTAGTACTGATAACCCCTTAATGTGGAATTGGAGTCTCTGGTAGCATAGTGGCTAAAGCACTTGACTGCTAACCAGAAGGCTGGTTGTTCAAACCCACCAGCCACTCCTCGGAAGGAAGGTTGGGCAATCTACTTCCGTAGTGATACTGCCTCGGAAACCCAAGGAGGGGTCGCTATGAGTCGGGGCCGACTCGACGGCACACAACAACAACAACATAGTGAAAAGGGTTAATGGAGTTGGCTGCTTCCCAAAAGGTTGGTGGGTTCAAGGATAACCAGAAGCACCTTAGAAGAAAGGCTTGGTGATGTACTTCTGAAAAATCAGTCATTGGAAATTCTATGGACTCAGTCTGCCCTGACACATGGGAGGTTGCTGTGAGTCAGAGTGGACTCAGCAGCAACTGGTTGCGGTTTTCAGGTAGAATAGTTTTTTTTTTGTTTTGTTTTGGTTTTTTTAATGTTTACTATAGTTGTTTTTATTATGTGCTGTTGAGTCGGACCTGACTCAATAGCGACCCCTCCTTGGGTTTCCGAGCCTGTATCACTACGGAAGTAGATTGCCCAACCTTCCGAGGAGTGGCTGTGGGTTTGAACTGCCATGCTTCTGGTTAGCAGTCAAGTGATTTAGGCACTACGCCACCAGAGCTCCATGAATAAAATAATACTAGTAAAAATCCAGTATATAGTCACACTCCAAGAGTAGTATAAAGGAAATTTCAATTGCCTATTACTGTTACAGCTAAAACTATTTAGGACTCATTCTTTTTTCATGGATTGATTATTTAGACATCATAATATGAATATTACTTCTAATAGCATTAGAAATTACCAGTCTGCTATAAGGATAATTTCAGAGGGCTCTATATAGCACCATTTTGTATAACTCTGTAAGTGTGCTGTTAACTGTATTTTACCAGGTATCTTTTTAAATTAAAACATAATAAAATTGAACAACCCCTCCTCCCCAAATCTTTACCATATACCCTAAGTAAACTTAATTGTAGTGCCCAGGAAGTGTTATAATTGAGGGGAGAGCTGTCTTCGCCCCTCAACTCACACACTTCACTGGGGGTTGTTGTTGTTTGTTTTTGCACTGATTTTCTTGTACCCTGGTGTTACCATGCAGCACTGATGGCAAATGCCACTCTAGTATTTGGAACTGTTGAAAAAAATCTTAATTTTACTCTTCCTCAAAAGAGGGCTTAATAGAACTTTTTGCAAAAGGATCATAAAATACCCATTAACAAATGTTGTGTGGGCTTTCCCCCCCTCTAATGAAAGTAGGTGAGGTTAGAGGGTTGTCCTCATTGATTTATCTGTGAATCTGTTGAATCAAAATAAAAAAGTAAGTCATTTGCACCCTATTTATTGCACACTATTTGAGATATACCTCACTTCCCTTGATTGCATTTACTCATTCCCCTCACTTCACAAATGAAAAACTTGAGACCTGGGTCTAGAATATTCAAGACCAAACCACCTAGATAGAAGCAAAGTTAGGGCCTGAGTGTAGGGTTTCTCACTCTGTGTCCAGAATTATCTACACTACTTGAAGCTGCCTTTCTGAAGACAGAATACTTTATGTTTGGTTAAAGTAAATGGACTGTGTGCCAATTAGCTATGAAAATAATCTTTTACGGTTGATTTCAACAGTAGGCAAGTCTTTTTAACTATTTAAGAAGTCTTTGTTCATGTGTTTTCAAACGAATGTGATCAGAATCAGTAGCCCAGTCAGAAAGCCCTTAAAGCCAAGTATAGTATGATGGCTTATTTTAAAGCTTCTGGTTTTAAAAGTTGCTGTGAGTCAGAGTTGACATGATGGCAGAAAACAGCAACAAATTTTGAAGGAGGAGTCCCTGGGTGGTTCAAACAGGCAGTGGTTTCAGCTGCTTCCTGGAAGGTTGGAGGTGTGCGCCCACCCTGCGGCACCTTGGAAGAAAGGCCTGGAGGTCTGCTTCCAAAAACCCTGCAGAGCACGGTTTTGCGCTGACACGTGGGGTCTCTGGGAGTTGGAGCAGTGTTGATCGCAGCTGGTACTGTTAGTTTTAAAAGAAAACAATTGTGAAAGTTTTTATTTTGTCTGGAAATTCTATTAACAGAGCTGTCTGAAGGGTTATTGGATAGTTTCTATAGTACATTCATTTTGAGCTATTTTTGTCAGTATCTTAGTACTTCGTGATTTGGTATCGTGATTTTAGAAGTATATTCTTACGCACAGTTTTTGTTGCAGGTCCAGTGTTTTGCTTCTAAAAACAAATGGTGCAGTGGTACCTTAGTTACCTAGTGCTGCTGGAACACAGATAATACAAGTCTTGCCTTTAAAGAACAGAAGCTTATTTTCTCACAGTAGCTAGAGACTAGAAGTCCAAATCTGGATCTTAATCATGTCGATTTCTTTCTTGGTAGTAGTCCTGGGCATCCCTCCCACAGCGTCTGTTCTCTGTGTGTGTATCTCTGTCTGTTTTGGCTTTTTTAGAACTCAGATGTGATTAAATTTAGGACTCACCCTCAACCAGCAAGCCTTCATTAATATACAGAAGAAAAACCTATTGCCACTGGGTCACATCCGTAGGCATTCAGCACATATTTCTGAGGGCACACAATTCAGTCCATAACAAATGATGAAAAGTGTGTGTATGGTGTTAGACGGGATTTTGCATCTTGATTCCTGGCCTTAGTTATCTCATATCCAGTGTGAGGATGATAATAGCACTGACCTTACACAGTTGTATGATATGTATACATGTAAGGCATTGAGAACAGGGCCTAGCGTATATGGCCCTAATATGCTAGTCCTACCATTAGACAAATATCTCAAGTGTGGCTTTAAAGAATAGAAGCTTAGTTCCTCACAGCTGTGGAGGTGTATTCCTTCTGTGGGCCTTTCTCTTAGTTCTCGTTGACTGCCGGCATTTCCCGGCATCCCTTTGCTTGTAGACCATCCTCACATGGCATGTGCTTCCCCATGTGTGTCTGGGTCTGTTCTGCTCTTTTTATAACACACCACTTAGAACCAATCAGGTTAGGACCCGCCCTACTCTGATTACCATAACAAAAGAGACCCCCATATTTCCAACCAGGGTTAGATTTATAGATACATGAGTTAGTCCTTCAACACATTTTTTGGAGGACACAGTTCAATCCATAACATATACTAAGTATTTAGTAAATGTTTTCTATTATTACTACCTCTAATTTTTCCATGGAAAACCATGAGAAAATAATGCTGTTGTTAGGTTGTATACATTTGGTTCCAGCATTATGTGACTTTATATATTTACTTGAGTGAATGGGCCTGTCTTGGAGATAGATATTGGCCTATCACTTTGAGAATTTCTTCTTTATGGGTGACCTAGACATGCTATTGACTGGTAGAGGGTCTTAGTTTTTGTTACAGAATCGTTATTTTGTCTTCACTACAGTGGCTTGTTTAGCAGCTAACCTTGTCCAATGTCATTTAGATTGTCTATTAGTTTAATATGCTACAGTGATGTCCATTTATTTGCTTAGCTCTAAATCGGCTTTAGCTTTGTTTCATAGCAAATGGACTTGAAATTTTTAAAGTATAAATTCAAATTTTTGGTGTCATTATGTTTTTTGTTTATGTTTGTTTCCAGGTGGGGATCAGGGGAGTGGCTTTGGGACCACAGGTAAACCTCCTGCTGCTTCTGTGGTTTCAGTCCCCGGTCAGCCAAGTGCATCTTCAGACAAGTATGCAGCCCTGGCCGAACTCGACAGTGTTTTCAGCTCAGCAGCCACCTCCAGTAATGCATACCCTTCCACCAGTAATGCTAGCAGGTATGCTGTCTCAGGCAGCCTTCCTGCTTTGTGCTTTTTCTCATCATTTTTTTTTTTCAACTCTGAATAGTAATGTGGTTAAGTAATGACTTTCTGGGCAGTCATATTTTTGGACATAATCTTAAAATTTTTGAGTGCTTTTTTAAATTTGAGGAAACTGAGTTTAATTTGCTAATTAAAATATAGTCCTTGAGTAATTGCCATACTTTTGTCTTTTAATTGGAGGCAAAATTTTTGTTACTTTTATTTCTGGGTCACTAAACGTGTACTTAAAGAGTGTATGCACATTTGCACTATCAACAGTTATGTACAGATTTCATTGTACTTAGCAGGGAATCTGTGTAGCAGTCACGTTATGTACTTTTTAATGCTTTCCTTTTCAGTCACGAATACTAACTAAGAAAGTATCATGTTGTAGCATTACTTGTAAATACATCTTTTTAGAAATATCTGGGCAGGGCCAAACACCAGTTCTGTATCTCTGCAGTGTTCTTCTGGCATTGGTAGGTAGGCAGAATGTTACTGGGACCTGGGAAAGAGTTGCTCTTAGCAGCTGCAAGTCTAACACATTGTAAAGACATCAGACCTTTACAGACTTTCTGGTCGTCTTCATTTTATAGTTAAGGAAGCAGACCTGGAATAGTTAGCTGATAGGTATATTTGTGGCGCAAAATCAATGGCAGGTAAAGCTTGTTGATGCCTTACCACAAATTAATGACAATTGCACCCAAGTGTACAAGTAGTCATTAATTACAACCACCAAACAGTTGCTGTTTAAAAAAAAAATTGTGAAATGCCTGTTTTACTTAAAAATATTCTTGGTGAAGCAGTAGAAATTAATTTCATTATATCTTTAAAAATATTTTTATTAAACCTTGACCCCGAATGATGTCGTCTTAGAGGTTTTCTGCGTGTTGAAGTAACCTGTGCGTTCAGCAGTTCAGCAGTATAGTGAGCCATGGATGTGTTAAGGAAAAGCGCTTGCATGATTGTTTGAATCACGGGACCCTGCCTCTTGTTTGTGGAACACCAATTGTGCCTTGACATTATGACCGACAAACCACAGTTCTTCTGATTTGTGTGTTTGGCAGACTTATTCTCCAAAATGAATGAAGTATAAGCAAGTCTGTCATTTTAAAGCAAACCACTAATAAAACTCACACTTTTCCATTGACTTCAATTTTGGAAAATTTATATACTTCACCATGAGTTTCACAGCTCCCTGTTATTTTCTAATGAGATAGATGGCAGTATTAATGTGATCTTTTTTGCAGTTACATAAGGAAATGTGTCTATATTTGGAAGATTGGCATAACTCGGTAAACTAGTATTTTCTGAATGACTGTTGTTGTTATGTGCCATCGAGTCAAACCTGACTCATAGTGACCCCTCCTTGGGTTTCCGAGGCAGTATCACTACGGAAGTAGATTGCCCCATCTTCCTTCTGAGGAGTGGCTGGTGGGTTTGAACTGCCAGCCTCTGGTTAGTGGTCAAGTGCCTTAGCCACTACACTACCAGAGCTCCCTCTGAATGACTAGTGTGTATATGATATAAAAAATAAAATTAGTAAATGATTTCATTTAGAGTGCAAGATAGACGAGTGAATTTTCCTATAGTATAAAAAGATCATTGATAAGGCTTCTCATTCCACATTGCACTAACTTAGGAAAGCGTCACTGTTGAATTTGGTGTGTAAGAGAAAATACTCACAAGTGTATGAAAAGGCTATTAAGGGATCACTAATTTGTTGAACTCTGTAGCTGTGTGTGGCCATATTGTCTTGATGTACTTAAGCCAGAACAACTTATCCTAAGAGACTGAATGCAAAAGTGTAGATGTAAGAATTTAGCTATCTTTTATTAAGCCAAACATTAAAGAGATTATTTTTAAATGAATTTAAAATATCTTTTAATTTCTTGGTTTTGATTTTTGTGCAACTTATATTGATAGATAGAATACACATAGACAAAAGCTCGTTGTGGTTCTCAGTTGTTTTTCAAAATGAAAATAGGTTCTGAGACTTCAAAGTCTGAGAACTGCTAGGATGCATAATATGCTTTGTATGATCCATTTCTATATTTTATGGTCTTCCTTTAAATAGGTTCCCCTCTTTTCTTTTCTTCTTCTTTTTTAACGTATGAACTCTTTCAATACTTGTTTTCAGCAATGTTTTTGGAACAGTACCAGTGGGTGCCTCTGCACAGACACAGCCTACTGCTTCAAGTGTGCCTGCTCCATTTGGAGGTATGTATTTCTGGTGTACCAGTTTTTGTAATGAGTGCAAATGCATATTGTATTGCGTTTTCTTAGGAGTACCAGAAAATAGTCAAAGCAATGATATTTATTATCAGAAAGCTGTAGTTTTCTATCTTCATAAATAGAGTGAAGAAAATCTTAAGAACTTGACTGCAAAAAGTGTTAGGATTTCATAGTATATTTTCTAATTTTTTTAAAGCTACGCCTTCCACAAATCCATTTGTTGCTGCTACTGGTCCTTCTGTGGCATCTTCTACAAATCCATTTCAGACCAATGCCAGAGGAGCAACGGGTAAGATAAAAATGACAGATTGTAGTTAAGAAAGCTTTACAGCAAGTATAAGAGAAGGTATTTATCATGAAGGGAATCTCTCCTGAAGTGAATGGGAAATAGGGAAATAGACGGAAAACTCTGTCCATAAATTAAAATATGAGCTGGGAATTTGTAAGATCCTGGATTAAGTAGGCGAGAGGAACCTTCAAGGTTGTCTTTGTGCCAACCACTCGTCTGTCAAGCTTTCCTTTCTCAGATAAGGAAGTCCACATGTGCAGCTGAAACTGCCTCAGAGGAGCACAGCCAAATTATGGCAGAGAGAGGACTTGAATGCCATAGTTTTGATATACCTAGTGATCTGGCTTAGTGTTACGTTACTGCCTAAAACTGATTCCTTCTTAATAGAAGAGTCTCATGAAAAGTACATACATACACATCCTTGCATGAGGTGAAAGGGCTTTGTTACATGAGGTCTTCATTAAGTCTCTCTCTAGTGCATCTCTCTTTCCGGGTGTTAAAAATTAAACATTTTAGGAACTGAATTTAATTTTGTATAAAATGTTGAATATTTTCTTTGGGTATCCATCAGTGTTAGAGTTTGTAACATTGATGTATGTGTGTGTCTCTCACTAATCTCAGAGGTGTAGCCTAAACTCCAGCAAATGTTGGTAAGAAGTCTTGAGAGATTAGGTACTACTAACAGTCAAATTAATACCATTAGGAATTAATCATTATTAACAAATCTTTTTGTCATCGGCAAGATTAAGAGTTGTGATATTAGGAGTTTGAAATGTAACTCTTAATTATTTCCCTTTTTACATAAATAGCTTCAGCTTTGTCAGTATTTAATAAAATAGGTATTTAATAAATATTTAATTTCACAAAATCACAGGAACTTTATTTAAATTTTTTTGCTTTAATTGAGGAAAGTATTTCTATTTTTCTGCATCAATGATGATACAGGCAGTTTCTCTGTTGCTTAGGATGTTATTTTTGATGGATGGAGTGAGTGTGTACAATTTCTTGGGAACCAGGTGTTTCCATCTCTGACGGCTGAGAGGACTGAGGCTCAGAGGCGTTAACTGGATATGTTTTGGGTACAGCCAGACTTGTGTTCAAATCCAGGTTCAGGATTTGCTGGGTGACCTAAAGAAAGCTTTTTGTATTTTATTGTTTTAACGAATGGGGTAAGGGTGGTAGAGTGATTGTTCGAACATTTATTATGTGCCACAAATTATTTGCAGTATACCGTTAGATATTTATACATAGTAGAACCACATTTAATGGATGAGGAATGAAAACTCAGATTTCACTTTGACTGACGTTAGTTGTGTTGACCTAACTTCTCTGAGCCTCATTATTATCCTTGTTTACAGAATGTGAATGATATCCGGTGGCTGGCAGGGTGGTTGTGAGAATTAGATTATGTCAGTCACCCCATGTGGTCTCTGCATTGTAGTATCTACTCTAATTCATAGCTTTGATTTTCCTTTCATGACTACCTCTGAATTGGTTCTGTCATTAGAATTAAAGGCTTTTTGGCTTATTTTGTTTATAGAGTATGAAAGTCTTTTGAGGTTAAGAGTCTACGTAGGATATAAACTAATATAAAATGTATAATGGCTGTTCAGATGATGTGAAATAATTTTAATACTAGCTCAAGTATAATTTATTATAATTAGAAAAGTAAACCTAATGTGTCTCTAAATTTTTTATTTCGAATTTATATACTCCACCAGGTGTTTGCTAGCTTCCCATTACTTTTCTGGTGACATGGATAGTGATATTAATGAATATGGTTTTTTGATAATGCCTACTGAAATGGGTCAACATTTGGATGATTGGCATATTTTTGTTTTGTTAAATTACATTTTGAGACAGCTTTTGAAAGAGGGTATCAAGTAATACTTCTGTGTGAAATTTAAAAAGTTTTACTGATATATTTCAGCCTAAAAATAAACATTTTAGTAATCATGCTTTTCTGGATTTACAAAACTTGGGATTTTCACTTTGACCCTGTTACATAGCAGTGTTCTGTAGGAGATGGGTCGAAGACTTACACTTCTGATTTTAGGATTCCTTGATATTTGGCATTCCCCCCGCCCCCTCCCCTGAACTTTTATCTCTAGTTAATAAGAGTTTATTTAATTTTCAATTATTAGAAATCCTCTCCAACTCTCATATCTTTGATTAACCAGTGAATTAATAACCTTTCTTTCCTAGCATTTATTTTAATGCTTTTAAGGTAAACTGACAGGAGTGCAGACCTGAATCAGAGATAGCATCTAACCCCACATCCCTATTTTATTACTGAGGTAGAAACTGATTTGTAACAATGTTAATGGATTTGCCTTAAGGGTTAAAAATTAATTAAGGTACAATCTGTCATTAGTAGTCAGAACTCTTCTAAACCAGCACTGTTTCCATGCCAGAAACAGTTGCCCTTGTAATTACTGCACATCTATTTGTAGACATGATGTAGAAATAGGGTTCTTTTTTTAAAAACTTTTGTACTTTTTATTGATGTTTTTCTTTCTTTGTTTCTGTAGAAACAAAGAAGTATTATATGTTAGTTTTATATTGATGAAAAATACACAAATTAGCTTTATGTCCTATTCCTTGTTTATATGTAAATACTCAGTAAGCCCTCCTAACTTGTCTAGAAATGAGGATTAATACAAGAATGGGGGTGGGGGGGGACAGGGGAAGCAAAGAAAAAGCCAAAATTGGTGTTAGGTGGAATGTGTAAGATGTACTTTGTTTCTTTAAGAGCTGATATTTTTCTTCCTGCACATTCACCCTCAATTTACTCTTAATAATTGAACTTCTCTAACATTTAATTTGTAGTTGGCACTTCTAGTAGATAAAAGTGTCAGTTTGTTAATAAAGAAACTAGAAAATTTGGTAAGTAAACAGAAACCATAAAAATAAAATGTATAGTAGTCTAGAGAAAGTCTTTGTAAATTGTATATCTGGTAAGGGACTTGGGTCCAGAATATATAGAGAGCCCTAGTAAGTCAGTAAAAAGAAAAGTAAAACAGTTATAAAATGGATTTGAGGTTGACGCTTCTCCACAGAAGATAAACAGATGGTCAATAAGCCCATGAAAAAAATACCCACCATCATTAGCCATTATCCATTGCTGTCTGGTTGATGCAGGCTGCTATATCTTTCTTCCCAGGAGTGCCTGGTGGGTTCAAACTGCTGACCTTTGTGTTAGCATCCTAGCACTTAACCACTGTCCCAGCAGGGCTCTCCTTTCATTAGTTGTTGTTGTTGTGTGCTGTCGAGTCGGCCCCGACTCACAGCAACCCCTCCTTGGGTTTCCGAGGCAGTATCACTACGGAAGTAGATTGCCCAACCGTCCTTCTGAGGAGTGGCTGGTGGGTTTGAACTGCCAGCCTTCTGGTTAGCAGTCAAGTGCCTTAGCCACTATGCTGCCAAAGCTCCCCTTTCTTTAGTTCAGGAAATGCAAATCTAAATGACAATGAGCTATCACTTCACAACCACTAAGATAGGATAGAAAGAGCAAACACTAACAAGTATTGATGCAGACACAGAGAAATTAGAACTCTCATGCACAGCTGGTGGGAATGTAAAATGTTACAACTACTTTGGACAACAATTTGATAGTTTCTCAAAAAGTACAAAGGACCTCTGGTGGCCTAGTGCCTAAGGCATTTGACTACTAACCAGAAGGCTGGCAGTTCAGACCCACCAGCCACTCCTCAGAAGGAAGGTTGGGCAATCTACTTCCGTAATGATACCTCCTCAGACTCCATGGCAGTGGGTTTGGTTTGGTTCAAAAAGTACAACATAGAGTTACCATATAACTCAGCTGTTCGACTCCCAGGTTATATACCCAAGAGGAATGAAAACACTTGTACACACATATTCACTGCATATCTATTCATAATAGCCAAAAAGTGGAAATAATCCAAATGTCTGAACTGATGAATGAGTAAGTAAGCAATTTGTGGTGTATCTCTACGAAGGAATATTATTTGGTTGTTAGGCAGAATGAAATACTAATCCATGTATGGATGAACGTTGAAAACATTGTGAAGTGAAAGAAGCCAGTCACAAAAGACTACATTTTGTATGATTCCATTTATATGAAATGTCCACAATATGCAAGTCTGTGGAGATAGAAGGTAGACTAGTACCTCTGCCAAGCCCTTGGGGGTGGGGGTGGAGTTGGGAAATGAGAAGTGACAGCTAATGGGTACACATTGCTTTCAGGAGAGAGGAAGATGTTCTAAAAGTAGATTGTGATGATTGTGTCTTCACATGAATAAAATGCTAAGTTTATTTTTAAAATGCTTCCATGTTTTGTCTTATATTTATTATTCTAATCTCCCATTTTTTCTAACAGTATAATTATTACAGTGTCACGAATATAGTTGAAATAAAAAAGCCCTATTATGGATGTGTGTTTATTATGTGTTCTTGTGCTAGCCGCTTTGCAGCAATATATTCTAATTTTAGAGCTTCTTAATGAAACCCTTTTATTTCTGTTTTGACGATAGTCGCCTGTAAGTTCATTGACATTGGTCTCTCTGTGGCTTTCCCAAGGCCTTTCTGGAGCACTGCACTCGCAGGTGTTTGCCCACGCTCATTTGGGTAGGTGGCCACAGCTAACATCTCACTTCACGGGCAGTGTGTCTGCTGCTTGTGGCAGCTTCTGCCGGTGTTCTGCTTCCCTGCATGTGCAGTTAAGTTTTTGCCATGTTTTGAAATGGAGTGGGCATGGATGTGTGGCATCAGGAGGACATTGCATTGAAAGTTACATGAAAATCCTTTGTGAGCTTCTATAAATGCTGTCAAGCATTACTGCTTATTACTTCCATGGTCACATTAGAATTTTAATAGCTTTGAGTTTTCTTGAATTTTGAGTGACACCTTTGGGATGGACTAAACCGTTTTCCTACATTATTCCATAAGTTTGGTTTTGCTTAGCTGTACCCAAGTTTTGCTTCTTCAGTGCTTTTAGACAGTGGTCTGCCGTGTCACATCGGTGTGGTGGTGTCTGTCGTGAGCTGCTCTTGCTGCCCTCGCAGTGTGCTTCTCATTCTCTCCATTCACTTGCTTCCCAGTGCCTTGTTTCCTCCTTCTCTTATTAATCATAGTAAAAAGGTAATTTAAAAAAAATTCTGGCAAATTCTAATTAGGTTCATTGAAGAAAATTGGATTGCTACATGCATTAGAACTATGCAGATTACTTGGGGCAACATCTATAACCGATTTTCAGGTTTGTTTGTTTTAAAAAGCGACTATTCTGGGCAACATTTATGGATTTTAATTTCTGTGCCTAAATCAGTGATCAAGTTGGTAATTTTAAAAATTCAGCATATTCTTTGATTTACGGCTTTTTGGTTGCATCATGCCGAAAATAATTCACTGTGTAATTGCTAGTTTTCCATATTTTAAATACCATGATTGGCTCTTATTTCTCTGAGACCCTCCCTAGAATATATCTTTGGAAGGTTTTGTTTGAAATCTTCCCTAGCATAAATTGCCTTCTCTCCTGCTACTGTGTGAGTCTGTAATGCAAAGTTGTTCATAAATGATTAGTCAGTGGGGAAGGATGATAGCAGCATACCACTGGAGTAGGGTGGTTCACTGGATTTCCTTCAACATGGTAGTGTTCCACCAAGTAGGAGCAGCTACACATAGAGGGCGACCCTGAGCACGGTGTCCCTTTACCCTGCATTCTTCGTCTCGCCTAAGAAACGCTTATTTCTCTTCTTTCCCAATTTGTGCATTTCCCCCTAATTTCCATAAGTCAGCAGTCTAAGCCATCCCTGTAAATACCTGCTTCCAAAGCTACCTTCATGTACCTGGCAAAGGAGGAAGAAGGCATGTGTTGTGGAACTGAGGTACTAAGAATTTAACATGGCATTTTGAGTGTGCTAGGTTCTTGTTAGAATTTTGTTTTTTGCTCTGGTTACAATGTTGTGTAAATTGTGAATGGTCTGCCTCTAACCCAGTTTCTCCTCTAAATCCTGTTTTAGTGAACTATTTCACACAGATTTTTTTCCCAGGAACACATACATTACATAATAGCAGGCACTTCAATAGATAAAAGTAAAACTTTGGCTATTGTTTTATATTCTATTGCAAAACGAAAATGTATACAGTCGGCCCTCCACATCTGCTGGTTCTACTTCCACAGAGTCAGCCAACCTAGGGTCAAAAATACTTGAGGGATAAAAGCAATTAAGTGGTCAGTGCAATCCCTCCCAAGCTAGGAAGGAACATAAAGTGCTCTCTATGTAGCAGTTATGTTGTGTTAGGTTTATAAGTAATCTAGAGAGGATCAAAAGTATACGGGAAAGTGTGCACAGATTATATGTGAATAATGTGCAGTTTGATGCAAGGGACTTAAACATCTGCAGATTTTTGTTATCTGCAGTGGCCCTGGCACCAATCCCTGAGGATACTGAGGGTCGACGGTACATGTGAAGTGAATGATGGAAAACTTTAAAATGTTACTAGACTTGAACTTATTGTATAATTAAATCGAGAGTTTTGAGTTTCCGGTGGCAGTGTTATTAGTTTCATTCTGGTGTTTATTGGATTCTAAGAGAACACAGTTCATGGGTTATGAGAAACTGTATAGCACTTGTTACTCTTGTTGTGTGCCCATTACTGTTGTGTGCCCTCAAGTTGATTCCAACTCATAATTACTGACTTTGTTAGAATTTTGGTGTTTAAAATGCCTCTAATATTCATATGAATGTTTTCCAATGTAAAGGTTGAATATGAGAAACTAAACCTGTCCTTCGTGTGTACCTGACCATGCTCTCTTTTCTCCTGCTAGCGGCTACCTTTGGCACTGCGTCCATGAGCATGCCCACGGGCTTCGGTACTCCTGCTCCCTATAGTCTTCCCACCAGCTTTAGTGGCAGCTTCCAGCAGCCTGCCTTCCCAGCTCAAGCAGCTTTCCCCCAACAGACAGCTTTTTCTCAACAGCCCAATGGTAAGACTTGACATTGGTCTAACTTAAGTCTATTTTAGGTATCCTTTATACATCAGAATTGTTACGTGTTCTGGCAAAAAGAGTGTCTGAAGACTGCTTTAGCATTATCTCCTGAATGCTTACTACAGAAAATAGAAGCTTTCAGTGACTTGGGCCTCAGTACTGGAGCAGTTTCAGAAATGTGTGAGCAGATTACAGGTTTAGGAGAAATTAATGGCTATCTACAGACCACCCCTTCTTTCTTAACACTCTCCAGTGTCTCTTTCATATTAATTCCTATTTATATTCTCCTGTCTCTTGATTTTAAAAGGAAACTTTACAGAGCTAGAGTCATATTTTTTGGCAGTACAACAAATGTTGCTCACGTACCATTTTGTGTAAGGATGTTTTGGGTGAAACTGAATGACTAACTAGGTAAGTATGTTGTAGATAGATGTTGTTTGTTTCAGAGTCAACAAGATTCATCAGAGACCAGTTTTTTACCCATTTCTCTCATTTGCTAAAGCTTGAAGTCTACATATTTTAAGACTATTTTTAAATTACAATTATATGTTTTCTTTTTAAAGGTGAGTGACTAGGTAACAATTTGGAAATACAGTCCATGGCAGATCCTTAAATGAGAAAATATTGAATAAGAAATACTGGAATGTTCACATAGAAATCGTGATATTGCCCTTACCAAACCAAAACCAAATCCACTGCCATGAAGTTGATTCCGACTCCTGTAGGACAGAATAGAACTGCCACAAGGTTTCTATGGAGTGGCTGGTGGGTTTGAACCACTGACTTTTTGGTTAGCTGCAGATGCTTTAACTGCTGTGCCATCCGGGCTGCTGTTGCCCTTAAAACCCTTCCCAGATCCTCAAAAACTCATCTATTAATGAAATCCTTTGACTGTCAGTGATTTACAGTGCTGAGGCCGGTTTGTATTGGCCATCTCTGTTGTGCTGTTGGAGCACTGTTTAAAGACATGCCAGGGTCAGTGTGTCTGTGGTTTTGGGAAGAGATTGAGACCCAGCGATTTGACATTGATGCTTTACTGTTGTTGCTCTGGAAGGAATTTCTCTGAAATTCATTATAAGGCTTTATACGCATGGGGTTTTCTCTTGAAGGTATGAGGTATAATTGGTGGTTCTGTTTTAACAAGGTGCAAGTTTTGCAGCATTTGGACAAACAAAGCCAGTGGTAACTCCTTTTGGTCAAGTTGCAGCTACTGGAGTATCTAGTAATCCTTTTATGGTAAGAGAGATTCTGTTTTCAATTTTAAGCACTTTATGAATTGTTGCATATTGTTTTCAAATTAAGGAAAAGCAGGATGTGATTCCTCCTAGATGCTACTTGGTATTCTCTGATAGGGCAGTCCTAAGATAGTACAGATTGAGACAGTCATTATGCATGATCCTTTCTGACTTAAAAAAAGAAAAATTATTCTGTTTACAAATCAAAGCACTGACAGTAAATAAACTATTTTATAGCATGAAACCTGTTTTCTTGGTGCAAAAACGACAAGGAGGCCACATGTTCTGACCTCCTCTAATCCCACGAGAGGAAGACAGGATTACCAGCAGTAACCCGAGGCCTATTACTGCAAGGCCAGACATGCTGCCTCCCTCCAGCCCTTTCACCAAGCGTTCCTCCCAAAGCACCCACCACCTCTCTCCTGGGTTCAATAATTCACTGCAGTGGCCACACAGAACTCACAGGTTATAGGATTTATTAGGGAAGCACCAGGCTACAACTCAAGTTGAGGAAAAACACTCAGTCTCTCTCCCAGCTCACTGTCCCTCAGCCAACAGTCTCTCACAGTCTCTTTCCCAGCAACGCTGGTCCCTCGGTGTCTCACTCAGCGATGCGTGTCTCTTTCCCAGCACGCGTGTCTCAGGAGCCCGTGTCTCTTTCAGCAGCACGTCTTCCTCAACCAGCAGTCAGAGAGAGTTCTGCCTCTAGGAGGCCTCCTTTTGAGCCCGGCAGGGTGCTCAAACTAGCCAATCATAGCATCAGAACTCTTAAGCACCTGAGAGAGAGTGGGCACCTCCCAGAACATTGTTTTGTGCCACTCCCAACAGAAATACTCCAGGTGGACAGCTTCAGCAATCAGGGGCTCCTCAGTTGCTCATAGAAAATCCCACCTTGGAGTTTACAAAGACTTATGGGTAGAAAAGCCACCCTAAGTAATTTACTACACCACACTTGGTTAAAATAACACTTTCTAAGAGGCTGTAGGAGTGAGTGAACAGCCTAAACAGGGGTCTTAGAGTCAGATTTGGTTTCAATCACAAGAGCTTTCTTTCATTGTGTTTTAGTTTTTGGTTTTGTTTTTAAGGGAAGTCCCTTCTTAGAACTGTTTATGAAAATAATACGGAGTGTGGATGTGAAAGGAACTGCACAGTGCCTGACAGTGCCGGATAGGTTTGTTATAGTGTATGTCTAATAACAGTAACAAGTAAATACTATTGCCAACAGTAATAAAGTAACTCTTCTAATAAATACAGTTTAGTTTCTTCATATTTTGCACAAACCACTTTCTACTTGTCTGTTTATTTTGATTTGTCTTATGTTTTCCTTTAGACTGGTGCACCATCAGGACAGTTTCCAGCAGGAAGCTCCTCAACCAATCCTTTCTTATAGCCTTATATAGACACTTTACTGGAACGAACTCTTACGTGGTCACATTACATCTCTCCGCCTCTTGCACTGTTGTCTTGTTTCACTGATCTTAGCTTTAAACACAAGAGAAGTCTTTAAAAAGCCTGCATGGTGTATTAAACACCAGGTAATGTGTGCAAAACAGAGGGCTCCGGTAACAACTTTTAACCTGTGAATTGGCAGAAAAAGGTAGCGCGGTATCATGTATATTAAAAATTGGCTAATATTAAGTTATTGCAGATACCACATTCATTATGCTGCAGTACTGTACATATTTTTCTTAGAAATTAGCTATTTGTGCATATCAGTATTTGTAACTTTAACACATTGTTATGTGAGAAATGTTACTGGGGAAATAGATCAGCCACTTTTAAGGTGCTGTCATATACCTTGGAATGAATGACCTAAAATCATTTTAACCATTGCTACTGGAAAGCTACAAAGTCAGAATTGGAAGGTTTTATTCATTCTTGAATTTTTCCTTTCTAAAGAGCTCTTCTATTTATACATGCCTAAATTCTTTAAAAATGTAGAGGGATACCTGTCTGCATAATAAAGCTGATCATGTTTTGCTAGAGTTTGCAGGTGAAAAAAATAAATATTAGAAAATATGCTATTGTTTTTGTGTTTTTGCTGCAATGCCTTTACCAAAGTGGCCTTATATATGAGTAGTGAATTGAGAACATCTTGAATTCTTAAATCAGAATATCAGAAGACTTCCTAGTGACTAGCTTTTATGTCTAAAAGAAAATTTTATAAAAAAAAGGCCATGTAGAAAATTTATTAAAAGTACGATGACTGCTATATTCAGGAACGTATCAGTGGTAAAGCATTTAAATGTAGCTTGTCAGATTCACCGTAATTCTTCTAATTGCTTTGCAACTTCTTAATTTTGTGAAAATTTGTATATATGAAGAATTTGCATGTATGTGTATTTACAAATTTTTTTAAGTATCTTGAATTCTCAGACTGAAATGCAAAAGGCCTATTTTAACTATTGATTTTTTAAAAAATACTGTTTTTGAATGTATTGGAAGCAGACATGGCGTTAACTGTGACATGATTGCACCTCAGATTTTGGGGTCCCCCCCCCTTTTTTTTTTTTTGCAAACTGCTATCAATAGGACATTTGCTCATCTTTTTTGGGGACAGAAACTGGAATGTTAACCAGAATACCCAATGTTGCTTTAAAGTTACAGAATACTTTGTTTAAAAAGGTAGTGATACTAATGTTTAGTTATAATCTTTCTGTTAATACTCAAATGAACTTGTTCAAATATTTATGTACAGCAGTGTCTTATTCATCCAGAGATAACCTGGAAATCTTATCAGAGACACAGCTGAGAAGCTCAACTTGGAGTTTTAAAAAAATGCCTCTGAGCAACCCACATAAGTCACATAGTCTGTACATTACAGCTCATGCATTTGTTTCTATATGAGATTTTAATAATTTTGATTCTTTAATTTCCTAGCTTATAACATATCAGCCGTTCAGAGTGATGGCTTGAAACAAGACTGATAAGACTGAATGAAGAGCATACATACTGTGTCCAAGACCATTTAGTGTAGGAACAGCCAGGCTGACCCAAAGGATGCCACTATCATGTCAGCTTCTGATAATTGTATACTGTTAGGACTCTGTGTCATCAAGAAAAGGTGAAATTCAGATCAACACACATGATGTACTACATGTTTGAAAATTTTTCTCTTAAGATAATTAAAAAAAAAAAAAATAGCTTTGGTATTAAAGAGGAGGTGGACATCGATTTCCTCAAATATATTATTCATGTTGAATACCTTTTCCAATGGTGGCTACATGAGTTGTGGTGATAGTTATATTTTAAAATCTGTATAATGTTCTAGACTTGTTTCACCGTTCCTGTCCAGTGCACATCAAGCTGAATATATTTGACAAGCAAGGCAACTGGCAAACCTTACTATTCTGAGCGGTATGCCTCTGCTCTTAGAATTAAATGAATGCTGCGAAGGTCCAGATGTGTGTTGCTGTATATTTGAAATGTCTCTACAGTTTGGGAGATTCCCTGCAGGCTCTTTTCCATGGAGGGAAAACTTAAAAAATGTCTTTGAATTTCTGTTTTAGATTGTATTGGGTCCCAATTAATTAATATGTACAAAGTTATACTATATAATTGTAGGCCATTACCAAATTACTTACAGGCTTCTCATCTAAGAAACAAGTAAATTAAACAGTTGTATCAAAATACTTTTACAGACTTTTTTTTACACACACACACACACACACACACCCTGGATAAATTTTAAAATTTATAATTAAATGGGAACTCTGACTGACATATCTGAAATGAGTGCTTATAGAATCAAAATGCTTACTGAAAGAAAAGATTCAACTTTAAAATGGATTTGCTTGTGATCCTGTTTACTGTTAAAAACTTTCATAGACTTTTGTATTCAGATATATTTCGGTTTATATGTTGAGTGCTGGAAAGGGAGAAAATCAATGAAGGGGACAAGACTGAAGACCTTCAAGCTTTCTGGCTTACTGGTTGGATCCCAACCTTCTCTCCTGCTCTGTCTTCCCTCAGGGGAAAAAAAATTACTTTCTTTTAGGGTGACAAACCTTTTTGATATAGCTTTTACAGGTTTGTTTTATTCCCTTTTTGATGAAAATAGAGATTAGCTGATAATTTTCTTAAAATAATTCCTTGTGTGAATTTGAAGATGCCCATCAGGCTTGCTTTCTGAGGTGTCCCCTCCCGCCTTCACCATCACACCCCCTCTGTAGTACAATTCCTGTAAATGGGGCATCATGGAGATTAGCTACCTGCTTCCTTATCATGAAACCAGCAATTCTCGGCTATGTTTTTTTCTCAGGACCATGATTCTTAAAAATTATTAAAGACTCCAGAGAACTTTAGGTGGCTTATATCTATTGAAATTTACTATATTAGAAATTACTACTGAAGCATTAAAAAAAAAAAAAAAAAACTGTTTGTTGGCTTAAAAATAACAAATTCATTAGATGTTAACATAAGTAACAGATTTTTACCCACCCCCCCAAAAAAAAATTGTTGTGAAGAGGAGTGTTGTTAGACATTTCTGTGCATCTTTACCATCTGGTTTAACAGCAGCAACAGGATTCACCCTGTTGGTGCCTTCTCTCTTGATACTGTGTATTAGGTGGGTGCTCAGAACTCCACTGTATACTTGTGAGGTTATGAGAGTGGAGGCATAGAACATTTTCATATTGTTACGAAAATGGTTTTGACCTTGCATAGCCCCTGAAGGGATCTTGGGGACCACCAAGGATCCCAGGATCACACTTTGAGAACCACTGCCCCTATACTTTTAAATTTGCGTGTTTCTAGAATACAGTATTTGGTTGTAATGTAATGTAAGCATTCTGCTGCCTTAATTTGCAACTCCCCCCCCCAAGTGGGGAGCATATAACTTCCTTCAACTGAAAGTCCAGTTGAAATTGTAAACATTTCTTAACTCTGTTTTCTATAAGTATTTTAATAATGGTAAGATTCATAAATATCTCCAGCATGTACCATTTGGATGTTACAAGTTCTGATTTGTAGGCATTGGTGTGTTTGTCTTTAAATTGTTCACTGTTCTGATCCCTCTGAAATTCTGTGATTGTTTTGAGAACTATCAAATAGCTAATTTAAAAATTTTAATAGAACACCTTGCTGGAGAAGAGTTAAAGAATGCTTTCTTTCATCTCATAGGCTTATAGTTTTCAAAAAATGTATGAAGCCCTTTTTATTTATCTGACACTTGTTAAAAGCTTTTCCTATATTATCTCATATGGTTACTTTTTTAAAGTTGAAAGAAGCAAGGCATAAAGAGTTAAGTTAGTAAGTGACACAGCTTATGCTCCTAACATAATACTTTATTGTTGAATTAAAATGCTGTCACATTTGTGAGTAAGTAAATTCTAAAAAAATTTCTTGAAATTCTGAAACAGTTACTTTCTATGTCCTATACACCTAATAGAATAATTTAATTTGGATTTCATTCCTAATTTGGTGATATCAATAAGACTTCTCTAGGATTTTGTTTAAACTTTACAAGCAAATTAATAAGGTAGTTAGTGGAGCATGTTTTAAACTAAAGACACCTGAAATAACACAGTGGCTCATAGTTTGTGTAACATTTCATCTTTATTAATCAAAAATGTAACAATTTTATGATTTACATTTTAGAAAAGATATGCTATTATTAAAATTTATATTAAGTTAGCCTGTTGATTTGATCCTCATTCATTAAATTTTTCTTTGTATATTTTAAAATATTACAGTGTCAGTGATTAAATTTTTTATGTGGTTGTATAACAGAAAAGTATCTGAAGGGCACAGTTAAGTGCTTTGACAACCAGTTGAAAGGTTGGTGGTTTGAACCCACTCAGAGGTACCCTCAAAGACAGGCCTGGTGATGTGCTTCGGAAAGGTCACAGCCTTGACTCTAAGGAACAGTTCTACTCTGCACGTGTGGGGTTGTTACCTTGACAGCAGACAACAACAGCAGCAGCATATTAGTGAACAAGTGAATATATAACCAGTTTGTAATCCAGTTGTGGGCTGCTGAATGTTTAACAGCCATTTCTCATGAAAAGGTGCTCTGTTTAGAAGTGTTTGCTGTAGTATGAATATTCTCACCATGGCTAATTTCATCTGCCAGTCTGACCTCAGAGTAACAAAAGAGATACACATCAGTGGCTCTGACAGTCCTTTACAAGTCATCCCAGCACAGCACTAACATGTAATTCCACAGCCCACCCACTAACTTCGCTGTTATTTGGTGCTTGTATCCAGTATTTGTTACTTGGTGATTCTATCCAGTACTTACTTGATCTGTATGCTGAGCAAATAATCCGAGAAGCTGGACTATATGAAGAAGAATGAGGCATCAGGATTGGAGAAAGACTCATTAACAACTTGCAGTATGCAAACAACAGTCTTACTTGCTAGAAGTGAAGATGACCTGAAGTACTTACTGGTGAAGATTAAAGACTACAGTTTGTATATGGATTATACACACCTCAAAATAAAACAATAATCCTCACAACTGAACCAATAAGGAATATTATGATAAATGGAGAAAAGATTGAAGTTGTCAGGGATTTCATTTGACTTGGATCCACAATCAACGCTCATGGAAGCAGCAGTCAGGAAATCAGACATTGTGTTGCACTAGGCATGTCTGCTGCAAAAGACTTTACAGTGTTGAAGAACAGAGATGTCACCTTGAAGACTAAGGTGTGACTAACCCAAGTGATGGTATTTTCATTCACCTCATGCATGTAAAAGCTGCACACTGACTAAGGAAAACCTAAGAAGAATGATCCCTTTGAATTAGGGTGTTGGTGAAGAATACTTAAGTGCCAGAAGAACAAACAAATCTGTTCTGGAAGAAGTACAGTTGGGAAAGCTCCTTAGAAGCAAGAGTGGCTGGACTTCATCTCACCTACTTTGGCCATGTTGTCAGAAGGTACCATTTCCTGGAGAATGATATCATACTTGGTAAAATCAGAGTTCTGCGATAAAGAGGGAGCCCGTCAACAAGATGGATTGACAACAGTGGCTGCAATGATGGGCTCAAGAATAACAAGTATTGTGAGGATGGTGCCTGACCGGGTATTAGTGTCTCGTTCGGTCGTACGGAGGGTCTCTATGAGCTGGAGCCAACTTGACAGCACCTAACAACAACAGTAATATCCAGTATTTGAAGTGCCTTTGTGTTGGTGATAGTGTTTGTTTGTGTGTTTGTTTGTTTGTGTCAATTTTGTAGGCCAAAGATCTTATTTTAACATTTCCTTTTATGTTTCTTTGATTACTAATGAGGTTGCTCATCTTTCGTGTTCGGGAATTGCTGCTTGGGAGTTTGTTTTGTGGGTTGTGTTTTTTTTGTTTTGTTTTCTGGTGGAGTGGGTGAGATAGAAGCCTAGCTGCTGAGATTCTAAACCAAGTAAGGAAAGGGGGTCAGGTGAAGTTCCCACCATATTCTTTGTGCAGATTTTTTTTGGGGGGGTGGGAGGATGCTTTATTAAGTTGGTTTTAATCGATTTATTTAGAAGTTTACCTTGAAGGTTTATGTTTTCTGATTAAATTAAAAGCAGATTTGTTTACCAAGATTATATGCTAATAAATTATGACTTTTAAATTTTTCATATTGATTTTTTAGACCTTTCTGGTTTATTGATACTAACCAAAGCTAATGATAGTATTTCTCTTATTTTAATATTATGGCTTTTTTTAAAGTATAGCAGTTGCACATTTTTATAAAGTCAGATCTTTCAGTCTTCTCTGATTTCATGCTTAAGAAATTTCATTACCAAACCTGTGTTATAGAAATATTCACCTATATGCTCTCAAAGCATATAGGTTTTATTAATGTTTAATATATTTAGTTTTTATGTATAAATATTTGAGACTGATAATTTTTCAAACTTTGGGTGAAGGGTATTAGGAGTAATACTACAGAGGAAGACCTGTGTTGGTTAGATATAACCAAACAAACCCACTATCATCGAATCAGTTGTGACTCACAGCAGCCCTATAGGAGAGGGTAGAACTGCCCCTTAGGGTTTTCAAGGTGATTATCATTACAGACACAGACTGCCACGTTTTTATCCCACAGAGCAGCTGGGGAGTTGGAACCACCACCTTTTTGTTAGTGCTTAACCACTGTGCCACCAGTGCTTCTCATTGATTGGATAGTGTCGTACAGTCCTCATGGAAATTTAATTAGAGGTCAAGGATATGAATTTGGGACAAACAAAAGTTAAACCACACTAGTGCTGTGATCTCTTTAGCAGAAGACAATTCAGGCTTGAAACTTCTAAGGCCGGAGGAGTTGTGAAGGACATCTAGCCGGCTGCTACTGAAGTATCCATTGCCATCCATGTGACCCTGGGTGTAGCAGAGTAGAGTGGTGCTCCTTAGGATTTTCAGTGGCTTGTTTTTTTTAAGGACATTTCTAGGCTTTTCTTCCAAGGCACCTTTGGGTGAACTGGAACCACGAACATTTGGTTTAGCACCCCACTGTGTTAACCATTTGCACCACCCAAAGACTCCATAGGACAACTGGGAGGAAATTAGATGGGGAGTGGGTTTTATAGCAAAGGTGTGGAAGTAGAGATGGTAGAAGGATGGAAGGTGCAGAGGGGCAGAAGCCTGGGTAGCCTT